TGTGAAACGCTAACTTGGTAAATCAATATCAATTGTGGTTGGTTGAAACTATTGTGAAGGTTGTATATGTCGTAATATAACGGTAGCCGAGTTTGTTGTCACACTAATTGGAGTCCCATGGACGAAATATGGTTGCACCAAGAAATATGATGTGATTCGGGTGGTGGATATGATTTCTTTTGATTGGCCCATCGATATACTGATCTCCCCCCTTAAACGAAACGGGGTAAACTTGATAATTTTTGAAACTTTATATTATCCAACCATATCGGAAGGTGATGACTTTTTCAAAATTCGAACACTTGAATCGTTTGGCATTGAAATGGATGACATCATTTCCACTGTGAGAAACTGCTGGAGACGCACTGGCATACTCAGCTCTGACTTGGAGACGCCCAGCGCTTGAATGCATGTATAAATGGTTGGTTCAGACAGCCTGCAAATACCTGTAAGAGTTAATTTACTGTGTGAATTGCATAATTTGCTCCGTTTCGTTTAAGGGTGGAGATCAGTATATAGTGTGTGTCGATAAAAATAAAAAACCAATAACAAAGGGGTTTTTAATTTAATAGAACCACCCCACATTGTAGCTAACCAACTAAAAATTTTAATACCAGTAGGTACTGCAATAATCATTGTAGCTGCTGTAAAATAAGCTAGTCTATTTGAAATTTGTTTTTTAAAATATTATTACTTAAATTTAAAGTTTTATTTATTAAATAAAAAGAATTATAATTTATTTGATTGGCCATTCACTCGAAATGTCGAATCGAATGGATACGAGGATTGACTCATGATATGTATACTTTTTAGCCCCTCTCGAACGGCATCAACGGCCGCGTTGAGCTCGGAAAGCAGTGACGGTGACGATATTGGTGACGATATTGGTGACAATGAACAGTACGTACACAATGAAGACGTACCAGCTATGTATTGGTTGAATGGACGGTGGTGGTGGTTCGATTTAGAGCTCAGAACGACGTGAAAGAACCGAGTTCCGACACCAGCGACGACGACGAAGACCATGACATGATTAGGTATCCCGTCGTGAACGTACTCGTCGTCATCCTAATGTTGTAATTTTGCTTGTGATGATATAGCAGCAGGAACAGTGTCGCAGATCCCGTGGCAGGTACTACGAATCTCCCATCCAACGCCCAGATTCGTACAAGGTACATATGTACTATATATATATATATATCTTGTATATACATATGTACTATATATATAAATATATATATATCTTGTATGTACTATATATATAGAGAGTCTGAGAACTCTCGTCCCCCATTCTAATAACGTCATCAAATGCCTTGTTGTAGCCATGTCGATGGCAATGAGAGTGGAAATGAGAGTGGAAATGAGAGTGACGTTGCTTCCACCACACACCCTGCATCAACCCCGTCTAGTCGCCTCACGTTGTAAGCCATTTTGTCCAACTTGATCCAGTGATATATATATATGGATACATTTTGATTTATATACATATTATGATGCTTTTCACATCCACATATGGACATTTGAGTCAATGGGCCAATCAATAGCTGTTGATATTCCCATCATATGTTTTGCACAAAGTGAAATTCATAGGACCGACGAGAACGAGCGGCGTCGTCGGATGGACGCAAATGCACGTCGTCTGGCGGCGATAGCTGAGAAGGACCTAATTAGAGCAAAAGCAAGCACAAATACGGTGGCAGTAGCGGCGGCCAATTCCAAGATCACATTCGACAGCGACGGCGAAGCACAGGCCGAGGTGGTGGCGCCGTCTGTGGGCTTCGGAGATGATCCCATCATAAACAAACAGAAGAAGGCGCTGTTTATCGAGTCTGACGAGTCTGATCATGAGGACAGTTTATTGGGTGGAGCCAACTCGTCGGTGGCCTTTCGCCCCGAGTTTGCTGGCGTCGAGGGCAAAAAATTGTTTGATTTGCAAAAGCGATTTGGCGGTATGTTATATGACTGCCGTGTCTTGTATGATAGTGTATTGCATGTAGGATATATATTTTAAATTTTGGATGGGGGTGGAGGTTGTTGGCTGGGTTTTGATTGGTGGATATGTAGGCGACGATCGATTTCGATTGGATGAGCGGTTCATGGACGAGTTTGCGGGCGACGATGGTGATGACGTGGCAGCAGCCCCACCAATCAGCGTGGACCCTGTGGACGACTCGATCCAGGCGTGGAAAGTGATAGACGACCGTGACGTGGCAGCCCAGCAGGCCGAGGAAAAAGCCGAGCAGATTCGCGCGCTGGAGATGCTCCAGGATTTATTTCCCGACATGAAAATCGACAAGGGCAAATGGACCATGGGCCAAGTGCCTGATCAAAAACAACTCGGGTATGGAGAGTTAGTTGTATATATATATATTATTTAGTTATGTATATATATATATATATATATATATAACTACATATATATATATAGTATTTGGTGAGGATGCATGTACATGTGTAGCGTTTTTTGTTGGGGTCGATACGACGTTTATATAGGTGTGCTTGTGTAGTATTGAAATGCATATATATATATATATAGATATTTGTGGATTGACGACACAAGTAATGTATCGACAATGTTATATAAATATATTTGTGCGCATATATTATATATTTGTACTGGTGGGGGTATATATATATAAATATTTGTGGAATAACGACACAAGTAATGTATCGACAATGTTATATACATATATTTGTGCGTATATATTACATATTTGTACTGATGGGGGTATATATAAAAATATTTGTGGAATAACGACACAAGTAATGTATCGACCATGGGAAGGATCATAGTGATATATTTTTTGTGGGATTGGTGCAATTTGCATGCTGGGCTGGCCGTGTAGTTGGTTTGGATATTTGGTCGTGAAGGAATTCAGTCATTGGAGGAATTCATGAATTGGATATCTAAAATACGATATCTATAATATATGATACTATGTTCAATATGATATATCTCCAATACGATACCTACAAATATATATATATATTTATCACCGGTGGTGCGTTGTCCATGTAAATAGATGGCTTGCGTCGATGCGTCGGTACGATCCTCGAGATGCGGCGGCGGCGAAAACGATGGAAGCGGTGGCGCCAACTGACGAAACCACGTCTCAGTCCCGTCGTCACCGTGACAACAATGATGACAGTGAAAGTGACGATTTTGAGACGGGGACCACGGCAAAGTGGACCGACGCGCCGCTGCCGCCCGTGTCCACGGAACGCTACTTTACGGCCACGTCCGACCTCTCGACCATGTTTTCACGCGTGCGAGCCAACTCGGAGGATGGCGACGAGATGGAGCCGGCTTTAGATGGCCTCGCAATCAGTGCAGCCCAAACATCGTCCGTGTTTAGCTTTGCATCCATGTTTGAACCCCCCGTGGAAAACGAGGCTCAGGACTGGTCGACTAGTTCGACTGCTGACGACCACACGAAAGCCAACCACGGCGACGATGAGGCGTGGCATTTTGCCAAAAGTACCCGGGATGACGACGGCAGCACGGACGGGGAGAATGAACAAGAAGAGGAGGAACAAGGATGCGCGACAACGGCGATCAAGCGACCGGTGGCCGAAGTGCTCGCGTTTGGACGTACATTTTTCAAGCCGGAACAGTGGACCCCCGAACACGAAGCTGCGTGGGTGTCGATGCGAAAGATATACACGGTGGACTTTCGACGAAAGCACAAACAGGCGCTGAAAAACAGAAAAAACGCCAAAAAAGCCATGTCGCGCCACCCTAAAAAGTAATCACGAACACATCATCGTCGGGTATCAGATTTGTTTGACAAGAATGCATTGACCAAATGAATAATCATGCGTGAGTTGGTGGTATACATACATTCTAGCGTACGTATTCAATTTTGAATAGGATTTCAAAACTCTAATGTCCTGTTGAGACGAACGTTCGTACAGATGTGATGCATACATGTACATACATGGAGCTCAAGCAGCGCTACAACATGTATTTAGTACCTCTTGAAATGAATAAACACACCTGTTTACAAAACCAATTCTTGGCCGAATTGGGAGACTTTGTATGTTCAATGAAGTATTGGTAGATAGTTGTACTAGGCCCTAGATCTCGTGGATGTGTGCATCTTTAACTTGAACATGGTTGGGTCTATTCAACTGGCGTGGTGTCCAGGAAGGCAATTCAGATTTGAGGTGATTTTGAACGACACACAGGTCGGATGGCGGCAAGTCGTATGTCAAAATATTCCGCCAATCATAAGCTATCGTTTGTTTCTTTTAGTTTTCATGGCACTGTGATAGGTCAAGAGTTGCGCCCGAAAAACTGTATGGGTCTATTTATGTGGCGCGGACTGTAGATAGTATGGTCGATTTGATACAAATTTGGGGAGGGGTGCAATCGAATCGTTGCGCCGACCAAACCGATCCACAATCGATCTGATTGGTTGTTGAATTTAATTGAGAAGGTTTTGATTGGCTAATAATTTTGAGCTCATCTGAAGTAGCCAATCAAATCGATTTAAATTCCAACGAGAAACCACGCCACAACACGAAATTTCACTCGAAAGCACAATAACTTGAAACTGAGAATAAATATCAATATATTTAGAGGCCGTCTAGTAACCTGAAATATTGCAATATTCTCGCCCAAAACACGCCATTTTGGGACCGAATTCAATAAATCGGATCAAAATTGATACACGTCGTCCTAGAAGAGTTTTAACCGAAATCCAATAATTCCAAGCGGGAATTACTACTAGTAGTACTAGTTGAGGAGGTTTCAAAACGCCATAACGTGACGGATCAGTGATTTGCCGATTTTTAGCTCCATACAATCAACCATATCTGGCGAAGTTCAAATTATCTCGACGTGAAAGTTGCAGTCCCGAACTCACCTTTTTGAGCTTTATATCATCGCCCGAATACAAATCAAGTATGAGAGTTTGGATCAGGGCAAATAGAATGTCAAAGTTAAGCGCTCAAACAGGCGATCGGCCGAAATTGAACCTTGTATTCAGTATGGGAATTTTACCCCTTCGATCAAACAAAATTATTGATTTCTAGGGCAATATTATATGTACGCAGTAACAATATTTACTTGATTTGAAAACAGACGAGCCCCACTTTAAGTTAGTACTATTCCCACCATAAGGTTTGAAGGTGTAGGCTTATATTTTATCCAATCATATAAATTCTTGAATTCTATTGGAAATAATTAACTTTGAATGCACGGGAATCGTGGCGAACATGTCGAGTTGATTTACTAACTGGAAGTACTACACAGTAGTACCCGGTAGTAAGGGAAAAGTCTACACTGTACCTACTACGCCGTACACCCTACTACTGTACACTGGGGTAGTATGGGATAATTAGTTTCAGAAATATCAATGAGCCAATCCAAATCGATTTACCTCCATTTTTTTCACGATTTAGACAACGTCGACAAGGACCTCTTTTTTTTCTACTTTTGGTATAGTGGGTAGAGTAAAAACATCGCAGAAAAAGTGGCAAAAACATAAGAAACTGCTCTTGGAACGACTTTTTCATTTGCTACAAATATCTATGTGGAACAGGCCCTAACTCGTTACTACGTACTTCGAAGTAGTATATAAGAACAGTATAGAGTTTTGGGGTTGGTGGGGAAGTAACGAGTAACGCAACCAACAGCGACGACGGTAGCAAAAGGACTAGAGTATTGTCGCTACCTACTAGTACTATGGTTCCATCATTTTTTGTACTGTATGGAGGGGTAAATCAATGGCAAGTCTGCACGGCTAGAAGGTATAAACCGGGGTACTTCTACTACATAGCTAGTACTGGTACGCATTTATTATGGTCTGCTTATGCAATTGATTGCTGCAAGTCGAGGGTGCTGTGGCGTCTGTTGCCTCGTTTGGGGAACAAAACGTCGTCAAAGTTGGACTTGATGAATTGGGCCGTGATCACGGGCAGCGGGAGGTTGCGGGGGCAAATCACGAGCGCAACTTTGGTCAAGTTTTCAAGAAACTCGGGGTAAATCATGTCGGAGTCCATCGCAAACGGATCGAGGTCGTCCGAGTGTTGCGGTGCCACGTCATCGTCGTTGTCACCATCGCGAACTTCAACTTCGTACGCTTTGCGAATGGCCTACAAACACTTGTTTGTCCAAATATATATATGTATTGTGAATTCGCTATATTAACTTTCAAACGCTGCGTGGTTTGTCGAATCAAAATATTGAATCACGCTGGAGGAGTTCTGATTGGTTGACTAAACTTGTCCTTTTTGAAAGTGCCAATGAAATCTACTCAAAAATGGATTCGCCAATAGCGTCGTCGATTCGTGATTCGATTCGGCGGCATGATTCAATTCAACGGATATCTCCAAATTTGTGCCGAATCCACAATACATTTTTTTTTTTTTGGGGGTACCTTGAGCGTATCCCGGATGCTAAGCTGTTTCAACACCCCATAGTCTTGCAAGAGCTTGACAAAGCTGCGCACCGTCATCGCGATATCGTTCTCCGGCGTCAGCGTACTACTCGACGCCATCGTCGCCGCTCCGTCCTGGGCGGCATATTGCAGGTACACTAACTCCAAACTCTCGTGGAACTTGTGAAACACAGTCTGCATTTCAATGCTGTGCACTTGAATCTCCAGCGCTTCGATGGGTGCCTAAACACAATAAAATCTCCAAGTCTACTACTCATCGGCCCTTCTTGAAACGTAACTATATATACAATAGTTTTTTTATATTTATAAATATATAAAAATATAAAAATTTATCTTGTATAAAGACATGCGTTCTATATTTTTTCTAGCACACATATATCTCATACGACAAGCGATGGTGATTTTCGTACCATGGGGGTAGCTGCATGGTCGTGGATGTAGTTGTCGTACAGTTTTGTAAACGCATCCGCCACCGACATGTGAACCTAAAGTGCAAGCACTTTTAACTATATTATTACTCGTGCCAGCCACTAGACCTCGCCGAGCTCGAGCGCGTCATCCCACGCCACGCGCACGAGGATTTCGCAAAACTCTCTGAACAAAACCACCCGATCTGGGTCATGGACGTCGGTCCACTTTTCCCGCGGCGTTACGATTGCATCCAATGCCCGGGAATTCGTGCGCGTCTACAACATATATATATATATATATATATATATATAATTTTTGATTGTTCACCTTTTTGATCATATGGTTGTGTGTTTATATTCTAAACTGGAGCGATATCGAGAAGGAATCGACACAACACCAAATAATCAATGTACACAAGAGAATGCATCGGCAGAAGGATTTAGCGAATCAGGTTGCTGGAAACAACCCTCATCAACGTCGAATGAGTGTGTGACTTCAATTCGTGTGAATACATACAATCACCACAGAACCCCTTTGTACAGTACATACAAAATTATGTACAAAGAAAATCGATCGATAGATTTGGCGAGGCAGCACAAAAGTCAGCCAAATTTTGGGTAAAAAGGACAATATTAAAGCCACTCTGGCTGCCACAAAGAAAGCCAGAAAACACCTCGTTTTACAACGTTTCGGAAATATTATGACCATTTTTCAAATTACAGCATTTGTGTGTTTGACTACCAAATCTGACATATATAAAGTGACATTATACGTCGAATTTTAAATGTTTTCTGACAGAAAAAGTTTGAACTGCAACTGTCCATTTTTTACCTACTCCAAAGTATATACTACGTAGTTCATGTTATTCTATCGATAGTTCTCCTTCCATCATGGCATCCATAGGTCACATCAAAATATTTTCTCACCTCCCATTTGAAAAAAGAATTCTCTGTCAGAATATTATTTGACATCAAATTATCCGTGGCATCCAGACTCGGCCTTCGCCAATAATACTCGTGTACATCGCGTCAACGGCAAATTGCCCATTTTGGCATATTGCCCTTGGGTATCTGGGTAGGTACCTAGCTATGTAACGTTCTATGCAAATATCGATGGCAACATTGCCCTTGAGTACTTTGCTACGTACTAGTAGTCCTCAACTATCCGTTTCAATAGAAACTACACATCAATTGATCGCTCTCTCCTTGAGTCAACGATAATACAAATGCAACCCACTCGGTTATACATATATATATATTGGTCATCCTACCTTTCGCTCGCGCTGGACTCGAAGCCGCTTGACCGCTTTGTTCTGGGCGTTCCGCACCACGAGCAGCTTGCGGTTGAGTTTGCCCATGCTAGCATTGAGCCGACATTCCACTGCAAATCGCCACAGTTCCCTCATTTCCATGAGCACATTGTTTTCACTCGTCGCGTGCGGCGTCGATGTGCCGGCGCAGGACGCATAGTGGCGGTACACATTGCGCAAGTCTGTGTTTACGCGAAGCACCTGTCGAACGAAGAACCATCAGGGTATGGGAAAAAACTTAATTGGTGATAAAAGAATTGGCAATTCAATATTGTCGATTTGATACAAATTTGGGGAGGGGGTGCAATCGAATCGCGCCAGCCAAACCGATCCACAATCGATCTGATTGGTTGAATTTCATCGAGAGAGTTTTGATTGGCTAATAATTTTGAGCTCACCTGAGGTAGCCAATCAAATCGATTTAAATTCCAACGAGAAACCACACCACAACTCGAAATTTCACTCGAAAGCACAATACAGAATAGAATTGATTGTACGTGCGGGACAATTATATTGACGAACCGAAGTCGCCAATGAATTTTATTTCGAATAAAACCTTTCGACCAATCAAATTGCAGGTGGGTGTATCCGGTGCATTGCCATGCTTCTCCATTGCACAAAGAGTTCAACATTGTATCTGACAGATTCACAGTGAGTATAGTTAGGTTAAGTAAAACAACGTCCCGACGATTTCAGGTAGATTTAACATCGTTAGTCGAATCTACCGAAAACACCAAATTTAGCTTGAAAGCACAATATCCCATACTACAATACTTCGCGGGGTATTAAACGTGTGCCAATACAATATTTATATCTGAGTTTTTCTATAAAAAAATACAATTGTTCATGTAAATAATTGACAAGTACTCTGGAGTACTACTACGTAGTAGACAATTCAATAACGTTACATAGAATTTGTGGCAATTCGCGATGCCATGCAATCGTTGTCGTTCAATAATTAGGATATATCTTATCTTTTTGTATCCAAGTAATACACTTCTCCGGAGTAGTTCAATTTAACTAATCGACAAATAGACAATACAATATATATACATACTGTACAATACTTGTCGTTCGCCAACCCATGCAATACAATATTTAATAGTTTTCAATCGGGTCAATTTCTAAAAAAATATTTTTTATTTCCCATACCCTAACCATCCCATATATGATTTGATTGGACGACAAGTACAATCAAACACATAATAATCGTACAGCATGTTGGACGGCTTTGAGCCCCCGCGCGCGCTCCTTTTCGTCGCCCCGCAACAAATCGTCCACGTAGAGCAAAATGGTGGGGATCGTGTCCGACGACTGTTTGCGGTTGTCGTTCAAATCCACCATGCGGTCATGGACAAACTCTCCTGGAACGGTCCACACAAGTAGCCAGAATCCGATGAGATGTGTGTGTGTGTGAACGAACACGAGAGTATCCAGAATCAGATTTGTCGATTGTACGAACCCCCCCAGCCTCCGAACGCTTTCAAGCAAACAGTATATCCAGCCCCCATCAGGTTTCATTTTCAACCGAGACGTACGCCAAGTAGTCCAAATCGACAAGACAAAAACATATACCCCGTACGATGCCCTTACCTTCGTAGATCGTGCCGTCTTCAAAGAAGAATAACCCGAGGCCGTTCTTCACGTTCGTATCCCAATGTCCTTCGTATCGAGCCCCATTCGCATAGTAAAAGATGCCGTAGCCGTCGCGCACACCGTCGGCAAACTCGCCTTCGTACCGGTTGCCCCGTTTTTCCGTGGCCTTCCACACGTGCACCCCATGTCCATGCTGCTTGTCGTCCAGCCAGCCGCCGTCATATTTTTCCATCCTGTCGAACCAGTGCATTGTGCCTTGACCGCACTTGACGCCGTTTGCCCAGCGTCCTACGAAATGTGTGAGCTTCCCCCTCCCATCTTTGTTTGAATATGCTATGTACCCCCCCTACTAGTGTGATCAATACTATATATACCCTACTACTATTATTACTAGTTGTAGTAGTACCTACTGTCGTACCTTCGTAGACGTTGCCAGTGCCATACTTCATCGTGCCGTGGCCGTCGCGGACCCCTGCTTTCCACTCGCCATCGTACTCGATGCCGTTGTGCTCATCGTATACCATCCGCCCAAGTCCGTCCTGCTTGCCGTCCACCCATTCGCCCTCGTACGTGGTGATCTTGTTGCTGCTTTGGAAGTATCCGTGGCCGTGTCGCTTGCCCCCCTTCACGGCCCCCTCGTACCAGCTCTCGTCTGGCCACACATACTTGCCCGACCCTGAGATCTCGTTGTACTCAAAGTCTCCTTCATACACTACTCCATCTGGCCACTCGAGCCGCCCTCGTCCGTGCATGCGACCGTCCCAGAACTCGCCCTCGTACACCTGACCGTTGATAAACGTCGCGTGCCCGTGCCCGTGAAAGCAATGGTTGGCGTTGCGGTCGCCGTCGTATTCCAGGATGATTAGCGCCGCCAGCCCAGGGTCTAATGGAAACTGCGGAGCGGCCATGAAGAGAGCGTATCTGATGCGGAAAGGAAGCTGCTGGTTTGAGCGAGGGGTGTGTGCGTTTTGGCGAGCAGGGTGGTTTGGCGGTTTCAAGCGAAGAAACGGCTCGAGCAGTTACGGGTCGCCAGCATCAAGTGAAACGATTTCACGCTTATTTGTACCAGGATTGGATTTCAGGGTCATCATCAACATCCGAGTTGTTTACTGTTAATTGCATTTACAGTTATTGTGTTTTGCACCTTTTTTGGCAATGCCAGGGTGAACAAGTACTGGTAAATTCATTGTTTAAAAATATAAGGCTTAAATGACGACTAAAGTAACGTGAATAACGAACGTTTCATACGTTTTGTCAATTTTGCGAATTTCCATGTTTGGCTTCTATTATAGTCGATTCGTCTTGCGCTAAACTATCGATTTATAGAGCTATTTCACTGATAATTTTCATTTGAAGATTTGTATGGAGCGGTTTTGGACCTCATATTTTTTACAGGCTTTAGCTGATGCGTACTGTAGTAGGCAAAAAGCGTCCTCGATGCCCTCGACCACTGTCGAGGGCATCGAGGACGCTTTTTGCCTTTTATAGGGGCCCACATTATAAAAATCTATGAAAATTTGCATGCCTGTGTATATTTTAATTACGTGAATTCAGCGCAGGTGATAGCTAACTCTATAACTTACTGTACATAATACAGATTTCGCAAACGCCACTTCTATTCTATCCGCAACCTAAAATTTAGAACCCAGATAGGTTGCAACCTTGTGCAGTGCGAATTTCGCAAATCGTCCGCTGTAAATTGGTGTTATCCAGAAAACGTTATCCAATCAAACTTGGTTATTATTCTTGGCCATCATCACTCAATGTCAATAATGATGCTGGCTGGAGTCCCTCTGTAAATGACACTTCCAACGCATACAAAGGCGAGAATTGTACGCCTACAGTCGGATTGGAGCGTACTAGTTGGATTCTCGCCCAGCACCAATGAAGCGTTACCATCCTACCCACTTGCAGCATCATTGTACAGATAATCTGGTTTCGGGGTTTCGCCCGCGAGGTCGACGAAAGACTTCACGTCATTCTCGTGCCAAGACAAAGTAGTGAGGTCCTTCGAGAGTATGTAAGGACACCGTGATTAGAGCGACGTCCTTCTACCACAAATGACATACTCATGAGACTCTAATGCGATTCACCTCGCTATCCCAGGCTGTCGCCATGGATGGTACCAGTATGATCAAACAAAACACAAGCGCATCCGGTTACACCAGAAAACCCACCATTTATGCGGATACAGCAAATGAGGAATCCGCTGCAAAATTGGCAAATTTTACAGCGGCTTTATTTATTTATACTTGAAGTAACAGGTTCAGTTCTATCCTTATCGAATTTGAGAGAATAGGTTGCGGATAAAATAGAACTGACGTTTGCGAAATCTGTCTAACTGTAAAATAACCTTCGAGAACTGCTTAGTTTACGAACCGAAATACTACGGCGGACAATTTAAATTTCAACAGAATAACTCATGATTTTAGCCAATCACGACACAGTATATGAAGGCTAGTAACACTGCTAATACTCCTACAGACAATAACCGTTACAATTCATTTTTATGTAGTGAAATGCATTTTGACAGCATGCACCAAGTAATATGAATCTGACCATATTTTATACTTCCTCTGTTCCACGTTACTGCCGACATTAGCTCAACAGGTTTTCGAAAGAGCTCTAATATTGAACTTCCCTTCGACCCCAACAAGTTATTTTCGGACCAAATTTAATGAATCCTACCATTTCTGAAAGAGAATAAAAATATAAAGGTAATGTCTATTAGCCGTAACGCGCAAATCAATCAATTTCACGCTGTAATTTTGAATCGTCATCGGGCATCAGAAAAATATATAAAAATAATCG